GAATGGTTGTGGACTGGGAGAAAATGGGATTTGTCCAAACCCGTCTTGTTTAGATCAATGATAGACTATATGTATTAGATGGTGAATATATACGATGATATTCGTATAAACTTGTGCAGAGATGGAGGCAAGTATGACCTGAAACTTATCACCACTTTGCCTTGCTAAATTTGTTTGTTTATATATATATACTCCGAAGTCCTAACCATTCTAGCTTTTCCAAAACTCCAAAGTCCCTCTATATATATACACTAGTTATTGTCTGTGCCTAAAGACACGGAGTAATAAAAAAATAATTAATAATAAACATATTTGTATTCACATCTAAAATCAAAGTACAAATATAGAGGAGAAAGAAAAGAATTTAAGCATCAATTATAGTAGAGGTGAGTAGTGGTAATGGTGGTAGGAGATGGTGATGGTTGTGGTGAGTCCAAAACTCCGAAGTCTCTCTCTATATATATACTAGTTATTGTATGTGCCTAAAGACACATAGTAATAAAAAAATAATCAACAAAAAACATATTTGTATTTACATCTAAAATCAAAATACAAATATAGAGGAGAAATAAATGAATTTAAGCATCAATTACAGTAGAGGTGAGTAGTGGTAGTGGTGGTGGGAGATGGTGATGGTTGTGGTGGGTGACAACAGTGATGGTGGTCGTGAGTTTTTGGGTGACGGGTGGTGGTAGTGGTAATGATAGTGATGGGTGACGGCGATGGTGGTGGGCGACGGTGATGGTGATTGATAGTAGTGGGGCGACAACAGCAACGGCTGGTTGTGGTGGCGGCCAATGACGGTGGTGGTGGTAGACGACGATGAGTGCTTTTTGGGGTAACAGTGTGATGGATGATGACGGTTGTAGTAGGTGTGGTAAGAGGAGGGTGACGGTGGGCAACAATGGTGTTGATGGGCGCTGACAGCGGTAATGGGATGATGGTGGTAATGATAATAAATATAAAAATGAGATAACAATGGTGGTGGCAATAAATGACAATGGTAGTAATCTGTGGGGGTGGTGTGGATGACTGTCGTGGGGGTGGGACGGTGGTAGTGGGACAATGGCGATGATAGTAAGGTGGCGGCAACGATGGTGATGGTCGAAATGGTGGTGGTGGGGTGACGGCAGTGGGGGTGGCGACAACGACAATGGTGGGGGCGATAGTGATGATGGTAGTTGTTGTAGCAGAGATGATGATAGAGGAGTGGTAGTGTTGGTGGTGGGATAGTAGGGGTGAACGTAATGGTGATGGGGGTGGTGGGGTGATAATTGTGGTAGGGTGGTTGTAGTGCTGGTGGCGACGACGGTGGTGGTGATGGAGGTTGTTGTGGTAGAGGTGGTGGTAAGGGTGGCAACGGTGATGGTGAAGGGGGAGGGGGGTGGCGTGGTGTGATAGTGGTAGGGTGGCGACAGTGGTGGTGGTTGTGGCAGTGGTGACGATGGTGTGGTGATTGTGGTGGGACTGGTGGTGGTGGTGGTTTGTGGTAGTGGTGACGATGGTGTGTTGATTGTGGTGGGGCTGGTGATGGTGGAGATAGCTATGATGGTGATGGTGGTGGAGCGGTAAGGATAGTGATAATAGTGGTGGTGGTGAGGCGGTTATAAACACTAATTTTTTTTTTTAAATACTTATGAGAAGTTATAAGTTGTAGAAGTATTTTTAAAAAATCACTCCAAACATATCCTTAGAGCTCTATTTTTTTATTAAATTTAGGGTGTTAATATTAGACGTCAGATTAACTTTAAAATAAAATTTAAAGAGATTTCAACCGCAAAAAATAAAATTATTTTATTTATTTTTGAAATTTAAATTATATTGTACTTTATTAAATAAATATATATACTTTCCGGTGAGGTTGAGAAAGTAAAATGTTAACAGCTGAGGATTTGGAACCATTTATGGTAAAAGAAATAAGTGTTGAATTCTTGTAAACTAAAGAGTCACCACTAGAATTAGTGAACTTGAAGCCTCAACTTCTGTTGAAGACAAACAGTATGAGAAAACACCTCGGAAAATTTTAGATTTTGCAAAAATAGGCGGCGGGAACGAGGATTAGGATTTACCTACTAAACGGGAATGAGGACTAAAATTAGCCTTGCTAACAGAGCTAGACCGGAAATGAACGAACTTTTTTTAAACAAGTATGGGACCGAAGACTACTCCCCACTTCCAGCCCCAAGCCATTGCCATCCCCTGTTCAAGAACTTAATTTTGGTTCCTAATAAATTTAGTTTTTCTCAATATATAAGTGACTAACTAGATTAGGTATTAAAATAGTATGATTCTACTAGTTTGTACCATTGTTACTATGGATCACTATGTGGTCATACCAGCACCACCTACTTTCTTCGAATTTTTTGGATTCTATGTTTTTTTTTTTACGATTTCAAGCTTTCGTGGAGACAATAAATCTTGATAGGTTCAACTAATTTGAAACTAATTGCATTTATTATTTTGAAAATATCATTGAATTGATGATTTTTGTGATATTTTTATTGAGGGTGACAATAAATAAACCTGAAAAAACAAATACTCTTAAGATTTCAATGAAATAATGAGTTTTCCATTTATATTTAGAGATATACAAAAATCCCTTCTTATCACTAACATAATTAGTAAAATCTGTCATGTTGCCACACTGTAGCAAAGATTTCAATAAATCTTATTTGATTAAATATCATTTATACATACCCTTGTAAAATTACACTATTCCAATAGAATTCCATCAATTAAATCTTATATATAACCCTATATATTACATGATGTGAGAATCTTTTACATTTATTATGCTATTATGAATCGCGTAAGAACATTCATAATAAGCATGTTATAAAGTAGTACCCCCAAAAAAGTTTGATTGTAAAATTATAACAAAGATGATTGAATATTTATCAATTTGCAAATAATTATATTTGTATATTTGTATTGATGATCAAAGAGGATTTATGCAAAAATTAAAAGAAGAATATGCTATTTTATTATTGAATAATGTTTTTGTATTCTAGTTTCTACACTGCTATTTATGGGTCTACATTCATTAATGACCATTAAACTGGCTCAGTTTCTAGCCATACCATAAAAGAAACATTTAAATTGTTGTATTGATTTGAATTGTTAGAAAGAAGGAGACAAAGTTAGAATCCGCAACTACTTGCAGGTGAGAGTGAGCCCTTACCACCATGTCATTTCCTCACCTTAAAACTTTATTCGTTACTGCCCTACTCACTAATTTATGACCCTTTTTTTTAACAAAAAAAAAACGTAGTAATTTTAGAACTTTATAATATAATTAAGGAGATATAGTGATTCCCTCATTAGATGGTAAAATTATATTTTTACCATAATTTTTCATTGAATATTAAACAAAAATAAATAAATAATTAGAGCAATTTAAAATTTAAATTAATAGTTTAAGATGCAATATTATAAAATAAAAATGATATAGTCTAGAAAATAATATGAAATAAGAGGCATAGTTTAAGATTGGGTCTAAAAGATAAGTTTTTGCTATCTTGTAATTGAAAACTACAAGGGTAAATTGTAAGGGGATATACCAAATTAGATTTATTTGATAAAAAATACACACTAAAAAATATAAGGTTATTAAGTACTTAATTTTGATACTTATTTGTATCCAAGTACATAATTTAAATTTATTATTTTTTATTGTGACATTTTTGCCCTCCATTAACCCATGTGTATTTAATGCACCACTTTTCTTTGGAAAGTAATACATTAAACATCTTCTAATTTTATGGGAGAACTTTAATACACACACACATATATAAATAAATAAATAAATAAATAAATATATATATATATATATATATATATATATAAATACTTATGTATGTATGTATATATGTATATACTTGTTATTAAATCTCTTATCTAAATTTTGAATTATTTTTTAATGCACCTTGATTCATATATTTTTTTTTTTAGAAAGTAATTTTATTTTCAAATTAATTTAATATCCGAATAGTGTAATAATGTAACAATACCAGTGTAACAATATAAAGTGTAACAATAACAATGTAATACTAACAATGTAACAATAAAATAATAATAAAGTAACAAGTTATTTACATAAAATATTATACTATTACATTTTATCTAACATATAATTTCATTTAAAATAGTCCATATTTGTTTTGAATTTGTTACCATATACACAAAACTATTGAATACTATTTTTGCTACAATATATTTGTTATAATGTTTTTGTTACACTGTTATTATTACACTGTTATTGTTATACTATTATATTATTCAACTTTTAAATTAATTTAAAAATAAAATTATTTTTAAAAAAAAGGGCTTGAATCAAGGTGTATTAAATATAATTAGAAAACAAAATCACTTTTCAAAAAAAAAAAAACGCATGAATCAAGATGCATTAAAGATAATTCAAAATTTAAATAAGAGATTTAACAATATATATATATATATACTTATATTTATGTGTATTTTTTAATACTATATATATATTCATATATACATATATATAAACAAGTATACATGAATCAAAAGTGCATTAAATACGTATTTATATGTATTAACAAACACACATGAATCAAGATGCATAAAAGATAAGAGATTTTAATTAAATGATCTTAAAATGAGCATTTATATTTTTTTAATTCACATTTTATTCTATGTACTTTTTATCAAATAAGTCTAATTAAGTGTATCAACTTTCAAAAAAAATCCAAACTACAATTAATACACCCTTATTTTAACGCACGCCACATTCTTTCCCTTTAACCGCGGTTAAATTTTAAAAACCCATCCCCAAGAAATACTCACACTCTTCCTTCTGTCTCTGGCGCTCACTACTTTCAAGTTTCTCCCCTCTCAAGTCTCGCGTCTATATAGAGAGAAAAACTAATATCGAAATAGACTATTTGAGTGAGAGAGCTGTGTTAGAGAGAGAGAGAGAGAGAGAGTGTGAGACACTGACACTGGTTGCACCGCCGTTTTTTCCGCCGGAAATGACGGTGTTCGGCCACACAGGAGGAGGTGGTGGTTTCCTAGCCGGAAAACAGGTGTTTCCGGTGGACTATGAAGCGGAGGTATCTCAACGCCTTCTCGAATCTTCGCACTGTAATGATCTGAAATCGGCGTTGGAATGTATATCCGATCCGTTCGTCGACGTTAACTTTACCGGCGCTGTGTGCTTGAAGGTTCGAAAGACGGAGGTTGTGTTGCGGGACGAATTGCCGAACGAAGTTCGAGTCGAGTACGAAGAGTTCAGGACCGACGTTACGGCATTGTTCCTCGCTGTTCATACCGGAAATGTGACTCTCGTGAGAAAACTCCTGGTAAATTTGATTAAGCTTTGATTGGGACATTTCTATGAATTGATCATATTATTGTTGTTTGTTTAAATCGAGACGAGATGTTCTGTGAGACGTTGTTGGATTCAGTGATTGTCTGTGTGTGATTATAGTTTCTAATCGTTTAATGTGTTTCTTTGCTAGTTTCTTTTGTGTGTAATTTTTGCTATTTGCAGTTCGATGTGGATCTCTCTCTGTCTCCCCCCCTCTCTCTACATTGTCGCATTTTGTATTTTCGGGATCTCAGCTCCTTCGGTAATCTTCTACTTCTATATAGTCAATGATCTAATTCGAAATTTGAAAGTGGGTGCGTTAATAATATTTACTTTTTGAGTCGCTTTTTTCGCTCTCTGTTCTGAACAAATCTTCCGACTATTTGTTTGCTCGGCTTAATTATTCATATTTTCACGTCAGCTCGCTGTTGAGCTCGAGGGAGTGGTCGGTGTAAGTTGGACACCCCGTAGAAAAAAAAATATTGATATTTAATATTTGGAGAATGAAGAATTTTGTTTTTAATTATTGAGCCCCACCTTTTATATTGCAGTAGAGTTTGAGATTTTAACTTTTGTCTAGATTTTATATGTCTTTTTTATTGAAATTCAGTTAATCAGAAGTTTGAGAGGCTCATGAAACGATTGTTTTATACTGCTTTTAATTTGTTGGTTTTTCATATTTCAAACTTCTTGAAACATTTTTGTTCAGCATATGTATACCACTTTTATCAGCATGAGGACTGGGATCTTCTAGACTATTTTGGCGTGAAGCAGAAATTATGTTAATCAGGACGATCTTAAATCTTCTTATACTATACATTCTTGCTTCAAGTGAGGACTTTCGATGTTTAAGTGGTCAGTTTTGTGTGTTTGGCCTCATTTTAATGATGTAGGAGTGTTTTTTTCTTTTGAAAAAAAACCAAATAAAGCTCTTTATTCCTCTTATTTCTTTATTAATTGATTGTCCTTCCTTTTTCACTTCAATGATCCCATAAATGAATGTTGATTTTTGGTAAAACTAGATCTCAAAGTTTCCTCTGATCTTTTGAATTGGTTCCTTGTTAATTTTGAGTTGGTAACAGTTAGCTCTGGATTTTTATTCTGGTATTTGAGGTCATTAATGCGTATGGATCCTCATGTTGAAGCATAATATTAGAGGAACTTCAAAGAGAGATCCACCATTATCAGCAAGGAGAAGATATCCTCACAACCCACTGCTGACACTTGCAGTCTTGGACTGTATTGAACCATTATTAGGAAACACCCTTCTTAATAGTTTACAAACCCAAGAATATCCTGCTGTAGTTTTTTCGGCCAATAGACTTTGGACCTATTCATAATGCAAAGCTGGTTGTCGCATTTGGGTGTCAATATCCTCTGCATATGCATATTATCGGATGTCAGGGAAATCTTTTTCACTGTTCACGCCACTGGGTTTGTTTTGGGTTGGGCATGGATGGATACATCGTATGAATATGTTCCATAAAATGAGAATACTAGGAAAATAATGATGCATAACTAATGTTTGCTCATAAAAATAATATTTTGTTGAGTTCTTTAGGTAGCTTAATTTTGTACGAGAAAACATATGAAGAGGACTGCATCTAGGATAGTACCAATTTTTTTTTTTTTGCGGCTCTTAACCGAATAATACCATTGCTAAAGGTCAAAGACAAGTTCCAACTATTTATGATCGATCACAACATTTTATGATCAAATACAAATGTTATGATCGATCATGAATAACCTTTGTTGTAAAATGTGTAACTTGACCTTAAAAAGTTAATTTTTATGATCGATTACAGTATATTTTAATTGATCATAACTTTTTCAATTATATCTTACTCCCTTAACAGGTTGTACCTTGTTCTTAAAACATTGTACAACTCGGTATGTACCTTCTTCAGCTTCGCAGTTGTCTGCCTGCCACTATGGTCTTAATTTGGATCCTTTCCATG